TATATATAAAACATACATATATATGTTAAGTTTTCTGTGAGTTTTCAGTTTCAAGTTGATCCATGTTTTCTTTGTTTTCTAGCTTTTTTTTTGTGTTTTCTGATTATATATGAGTTCTTAGGTTTTTCTTTGCTTGCCCTCTGTCGCCCTCTGGTGTTGGTCTCCGTTTCTGTAGCTCATTCTAGAAACCTCTGTTCCCACCTGCTCCTAATCAGCTCATTAGTCCTGTCTTTGTTCAGTCTCCTATAAATACTCTCTCTGTACAGTTCCTCAGTGCTGGTTCCCCGTCTTTCCCTGGCTCCTCGTGCCTGTTTTCCCTGATGTCTCCATGGATTTGGTTTTTTCTGCATTTTTATGTTGCAGTTTTTGGATTCCTGCTTCTGTTACCTGTGATAACTCCTGAAAACCTCAACCAAACTCCAACACACACACACACACATATATATATATATATATATATATATATATATATATATATATTTTTTTTTTTTTTTTTTGGTTTATCACTTTAAACGAAGAAAAATTCAGTTCTCCAGGAATAAATACTTTTATATCAGTTGCATGACCCTTTTTTGTCTTTGATTGGCAGAAAAATAGCGTTTAGGTGGAGGTGAAACATAGCTAAGCTGTAGCACAAATCTAAAATGTTTTCACTCACCTAACTTTTTACGGTTAAGGGGGCAGCTTTGAAATTTGTGAAGTATAAAAAACTTTCACCGTCAGTTTTAGCAGAGATAAGTAGATGCTTAGTCTGCTTGAGGTTTTAGTCTTCCTGATGAAAAGATCAAGAATGAAAAAAATATATAGATATTAAACTGAGACCTACTTTGTCTGTTCTAAAACTACTTAATATTCTACATAAAATTAAAAACTTTTAGATGATCTAGTATTTTATCCACTGATGAGACGATACCCACTCTGATTAGCCTTAGCTCTCTGAACATGCCCTCTGTGCACACTGAGGTTGCAATGAATACTGTAGAAGAGAGAGGGAGAATACAGTGGGAGGAGAATGGGAGACACAGAAGGGGAGGGGATTCACCCTCGTCAGCAAACAGGCAGTCAAGCTTTCTCCCCAATTTCCTCCCTTTCTCTGCCCCCCCTCCTCCTCTCCCCTCACTCTGTCAGTGTTGCTCTCTCACCTCTCCTCTCCCATACAGAGAAGTCAGCCTGTGCATCAGTCTCCAGCTCATCCAGCGTTCGCTCCCCCCCACTCGGCTTTTTTGCCGAGTGTTACTTCTCCTGCCTCTGCTGCCTCTTTCCTCTCCTCCTCCTTTTCCCTCTCTTCTTCCTCCTCCACCATGGTGAACAGATAACTGGTTCGCTGCGCTTAGACCATGGGTGCCTGCCTCTGCAAAGGTCACAAAGGTCAGTCTCAGAGCCCACCTGTTTGCGTCTGAATGTGCGAGGATTGTCTCAACTTGCAGCATGGTTGGTGGATATAAACATCAGAGCTGTAGCTGAACTTGTCTGCTTCTGGGTTTAACAATAATTTGCATTAAGTTTGTGTGAGCTGAGTGTTGCAGCTGATGCAGACGTAGCAAATGGATATCCCTGCAGTACTGAAACATGAGTGAGATGGAGAGTGTCAAGTTTGGCGCATCAGAGTTGACTCTATCATGGGGAAAACTGCAAAGATTTATCTTGTATAAGTGCAAAACAAATTCCCTGTTGCCATTCTCAAAGTAATCCACAGATGCTGACTTTGGGGACATGAGGTGAAGATTGAGGGAGACAAACGGTGGATTTGAAACGTGACAGCCTCATCTGACTGTCATCATCTATTTGTCAGGACTTGAGGATGTGACTTGAGTTGCAATTTTTCTCTTGTGGGATAATAATTGAGTGTTTGATGACTGACTGGAATGGTTTGACGTGTTTCAGAAAGAATAGAAGGAATTCAACAGTGCCGTTAAAATATTTTAAAAATCTGTACAGATTTAAGGTCTCCCCTCTTCCTACAATCTCACATTTTTTTCACTTGGCTTTGGAGATTATATTTCTGCCATAATGTTTGGCTGTTTTGTGGTTTCAGCTGGCAAATGAAGGTTTTGCTTAAGATAACCCCTTTTAAACACTGTTGAAGGTATAGAGCACAGAGCTTTGATGCTGTGGAGGGAGGAGGCAACTGCGAGGCAGCAGACAAACAGATAAGAGAGCATCAGTAGACAGAGTGTGTTTGTATGCGTGTAAGAGAGTCAAGGTGGGATTTAAATCTATGGAGACAGAGGGTTGCTTAAGGAATCATGATGCAGTTTTCTTGACAGGCAGAATAAGGCTGGAGATCAGACCTCGGCAAGTGGAGAGAGTGTGTCTCTATCTGTGTGTGTGACACTAGTGACTGGGGGTACCACTTGGCTCCCGTTGCTGCGCCGTTTCCACCGTGACCGACGATTGTCTTGACGACATCCCCCCTGGGAAACCCCAAGCATTTGTCTATAGTCTTGTGTGTGAAAGTGTGTGCCTGCATGTATTTGTGTCTGTGCCTGCTGACCCTTTTTAATGATGTCAATTCTCCATAGAACTGGCCGCCACTTCATTTCCTCTTGTCATTCACATGAGCCTCATCACCATCAATTATGAAGCAAATAGGCAGAGCGTGAACTGATGCAAAAGCTAAATATGCAGAGGGTCAATTAAACTGGATTCAAAGCTCTCATCACATCCATTATATATGAGTCTCGCTTGACCCCTGGCTGCACATAGCTATATGGTTCTAACCAGATATTTGTTTGTGATTCCCAATAGAGCTCCACCTACAGCCATCATTGCCTCACCAGACCGAGGAAACTCAGTCAGCTTCCATCAAGGTAGGTCTTGTCTGTGTCTGGTAAGCTGCCATCATCTACTTTATATGGTTTTAATTGATAATGATGAAACAGTGTCACTTTTTATAAAAATCTAATTTCTTAATTCTTATTTGTAATAGGCCCGTCCATTATAGCTAACTTACTATCATGATAGATAAACCGAAAATATTAAAATTTTGAAACGATGATAGAAAAAATAAGAAAGATTTATGAATTAATTTACCAGTTTCTACTCTATGTATTATTTTACTACACTAAATAAGATGAACTAAGCCTACTGATTTAGGCCGTATAAACAGAGTATCGGTCTGAACAGAAGCAGGTGGAGCCTAATTTTAAAGTTTAGACCAGGATGGGACTGACATTTTATTTATTTTTTTTATTAAAAAAAGAAACTCCTACAGCAGCCAGTTGTTGAAATTTTAAAGATCCATCCATCCATCCATTTTCAAACACGCTTAATCCCAAGTGTGGTCACAAGGGGTGCTGGTGCCTATCTCCTATCTTGAGCTTTAAGCCTCTGCTTGATGCCTTGATGTCATACATCTTTAATTAGCATTCCATTGGTCAGAAATATTTCTGTATCAAGGCTAAAACATTTGTTGGTCTCTAGCAAGGTGTATTGTTGGGAATTAACAAATCTCATTATAATTCATCTTGCTTGCAAGGTAAGGTTTCTGCCAGTTTTGCGAAAACATATCTAAAGGGTATAAGCTGTACTCCCTAGTATGTTCTTAATTTTCAGTGCAAAATTGCTCCATTGCAGATGACAGCTTGTTGTTATGTTAGCAGAAAAGCACTGCTGTATTATGGGTAATTCTGGCACTGAGAGTCACGGGCTGTGTTCAATTTCAGTTGTATCTTCCAAACCACCCGGGCTACATGGACTGGGTCCTTTGAAGGCCATGAAAATAAGGAGGCCAGAAGAGTTCAGTTATAGATTCAAACAGGTCCAGCCTTCTCCATCTGTCATTGCCCCTCACTAGCAACCGTGATATTTGACTCAAAAAGCAAGCTAGGAATGGATGCTGATCTCCTCACTACAGTTCTGTGTGCTTATAGAATTATATTTTTGAGTAGCTTCAGCATCAGAACCGTCATCAGACATATCAGATTTATAGTCCCCACAGTGCAGAGTTATTGCAATCTGTGCTAAAATGTCAGCCAAACCCATTTGTACAGGGACAAATAAAACCTCTCAATAAACCACATGTTACCCACAACATATTTGACTAAAGACAGGCATACACTGCTCGATTTTTTTTCCGGTGCCCTTTTTGGGCCGATTGTCCAGTCGAGCAAGAATTTTTGGGATCGGGCCGAGTTTCAGACATCGTGTGTCCTACGTCGTTTAGTATAAAGGGGGTAACGAGGGGCGATCAGCCTCTTGCGAGCACCTCCTGATCGGAATCCTAAGTTTGGGAGAAAATTAAACATGTTTGAAATTCAGTTGGCCATTGTAGGTGTTTGTGGGTAAACCCTGCTGTTGAAAGCAGAGCTTTGAGCCGATTTACCAGAACCTCGAGCCCTGCACATATGCAAAAAAGGGAGTTTTTCTTCTTCTTCCAGAGTGAGGAGTCCGACCTGCGCCATCTCTCGGCGCTGAGTCCGAACGTGTCGTTTTTGGACGTGCAGTGTGAATTGTTAGATTGTGTCAGAGCTTCAGGCTGCAAAGTGTGATAACATACATTGTGAGCTGTGAACTTTTAAAACCTGCGGTTTCGTCATATAATTTGAGCTGTAGTTGAGTGCAATGATTAGAAATATTGTACAGTGTATGCCAGGCTGTAGAATGGCCTTGTCAAAGTAATTCTCACTTCTTCATCACTACTACAACATTCATCACTGTTTGTCCCTATTTCCCTTTTTCCTCTGAGCATGGAGCAGCCGGCTTGCTTAGACTCGCAATAAATCATGGTATACCCAAGCCCACGGAGGATACAGCTGTCCTGTCCTTCCAAATGGGCAAAAAGAAGGCTGTATTTGTCGGCTGCACAACGAGGAGTCTTCCAATCTGAAAAGGCCATGATGCCTCGCTATGACATAACAGTCCGATGAATCTGGCCTTCGGAGGATGCAGCCACTGAATTGGAGCTCAGCCTTGCATAAACCTTTTCAAAATTCCTAGAGTCAATTTAATTTTTCAATTCAAAATGGCTGCATTACCTGAAAAGTAGAGATTACTGAAGAGATTTGCAGCTGATTTGTGGTTCTATTGGCGTTAACCTCATAATGCTGTTTAGTTCAATGCAATAGAACAGACAAAAGCATTGTTTCAGAGAAATGCATTGTTGTTGCTTTGTATTAACCTTGGCAATGAGTGGAACAGTTAGCAAAGATGTCATTTACACATCCTGGTTCTGATGTGAGCGGAGTATCACAGGCACAATCAGTAGCTTTTCTCTGTCTGCAACAATATTTTGTCTGGGTAGTGAAATACTAATTCTCAGTTACAACCATATAAAATAAATAAATACATTTAAAAAAAGCTCCAAAGGTGGAAACTGTGTAATACAAGCCTTTAGGCAACACATTTTCATTTTGAAGGTCGAACGCTGAAAATGTATTAAAATGTATAAAGAAAATTGTCAGTGATTGGCCATGTGTTAGAAAAGAGAGGAGGAGGGACTTTTATTAAGCTGATTAGTGAGAATGGGGGTTAGGGGTGTGCCCTCCCAGTTAGTAAAACGAGTATGAGTGCCAAGTAGTCATTGGACTAACCTAACTCTTCTTTAAAGGGCAAAAAAGAACATTTTGCCTATTATACCACATTCTGTTCTCTCAAACAGCAAAACAAATCTACCTGCAATGCAGTCTTTTCTAAAGAACCGAGACGTGTTTGCATTCAGCTGAAGAATACTAAATCAAAATGAAAAGTTTAGGAAAAGTAGCTCAGCTTCTTGCTCTTATTGCACCTAGCTGGGTGTTGAGATCGTGCCTTCTGTTGTTAGCACCTGATTCACACTGAGTGTGAATGCTGAAGAACTTCTGACTGTTAACTTCATTAGCTCCTGTTTGAAAGAAAATAAAGTGGCAAATGTGTGGGTTGAATTGTAAAAGGGGGAGATGTGAATGTTCTTCTGTTTTAATCCAAATAGTTTGTTTTTCGGCAGAATCCTAATTTATCCATTCACCCACAGATTCATACACCTACACAGTCTTTTCAGTCTCTGTATTGATGTCATCACAGGCACGCAAAATAAACAAATCATGGGCAAAAGTTTTTTTCCTTAACAAAACTTAAATAATATCCTGGATCTGTTCAAGAGTTCAAAGGGAAACAATCTTCCCTCACATAAATTACAGGGAAAATGAGTTCCTTTTTGTGGCTACTTTCCTGTGGTCTGGACGACAAGTTCAAACTGACAGAACACATTAAGTAGCAGCTTTATTCCTCTGCTCATGTCTGGTGTAATTCCCATCGAGTAATAAAGTTGTGGTACAAAAAACACAATTTAAACTATTAGATTTAATAGTTAAGGCATTTGCTTTTGGTTCATATTAAGTTTAAAGAGAAGAAGGAGGCAGTATATTAAAGGTTCAATGCAAACATTATCATCAGTCGGGCTGCTACAAACCCCGCTTATGTGTGCATACCGGCTGAACCCACACATCCACCCACAGGCACCAAACTCATCAAGCTTCAATCTTGGAAGGAAAAGCTGCATTAACTCTATTTAGCATAAAATATCAAATTTTGCCTTTGAAGCCTGAGGATGCTGTTTTTTTTTTCAGCACTGTTAATAACATCAGGATTAACTATCGTATTGATCTTTTTAAGCATATACATAACATGAAAAAGGGAACAAAAAAATAAAAAATAACAATCTGGGTGACACAGCAATTATCCATCTTGTAAGAAAGTAATATTTCCACTTTTTTTGTCCATTTGTGCTTCCTGCAGTCTTAGTCTGCATGTTAGCCTTTTCATTAAAAGTATGTCTTCTACAGTAGATATCTATTGGTCCTTTGCTGGCCCCTCAAACTCCCCCCATTTCCTTGTGATGCACTTTTTAGCTGCAATCAACATTATCTTTGTCAAATATGCATAATTTTTATGAATTTTGTCATCACTAAAGATATACAAATACAGCAGTTCAGGTTCCAACTGTACTGTGTGTACTAAAACTTGACATAGGGTATTTTTATCGATAATCCAATAGTGCAAAAGTTTTAGACATTTCCAAAAGATATGTGAATTTTAACAGGTAAAGGTTTCCCACTAAATAAAGCACTGATGGCCAAAATCCTCAAGACTTGTAATTGTAGCAAAAGGTGGCATCCAACTGTCACTATGTGATGTTTTGGGCCAACAGTAGATTCACACTCAGAAGCAGCATGTTTTGAGCATTTAATGAAATAATGTAAACATAAAGATCTGGAAAACAGGTGAGGAGACATGAAGCAAACTGACAACCTGGTGAATACTAGTAAGAGATATTAGTGTAATGGATAAAAACAGCTGCAAACAGGCAAATATGAAAACACATATGTGTGGAATCTACTAATTATCAAATGGAAAGGGCTGAATGAGCAAAAAAACGTAGGGATTAAAAGAGAAAAACATACAAAAGAACCCTTTGAGAACCTATCAAAATATACAGAAATAATTACTAGACAAATTAAAGACAAAACCAACTAAAACACTAAGAAATCGATAGAAGACATAAAGTAGAAAACACCTGGTGAAATATAAACAAGCTGAAAAATGGCAAAAAAAAAAAAAAAAATGAATCATAACAACAATGTGTGGGACCTGACAACAACACTTGTATTGTATGTTTTTTGAAAAACTATTTATTTTATAAACCCAACAGAAATTCTTAGAGATTTATGTTTCCATCATCATAAAGCATGAAAAATTTTGTAGGACACTGTAACAAATAGGAAATTACCATGTTACTGATTTTAGCATAATGTTATTCAAAACGAAGGTGAAATTCATCTATTTTTTACTCAGGAATAATTTTCGTCCTTTTCTCTTTCCTGCATCATGCTGTGCAGGATGGTCAGAATCCCTCCAACGGCAGCGTGGCGGATAAATCCAGCCGGTATGACATTGCAGAGCTGGCTACATCCTCTCTCGTAGGTGAGAAACACAAACATGTTGGATTCAGGCTGTGCTTTGCATTGTAAATCAATACCCGGAAAGCTGTGTCACTGACCACAGGGGGTTGGAAGTGCAATTTTCCTCTTACTTGCCCAAACACACACACTCATATCCACCTTCAATTAGATCTTCTTTTTTTACCTTTATGTCTCACTTCCTGGAGTCATGTTATTGCATTTATTTCCCAATTCCCCTCTTCCCACCTCGTGTCACTCCCCGTCTTTACAGCTTCGTTCCCGCTGCAGGATGCTCATCATTTTAGTTAATGTGTTATGCCTTGATGAACTTTTCCGAGTGGAAGGTCCTTTATTAGACTGACAGAGTAATTATGAGCAGCGTAAAAACCTCATGAATAACTTAGACGTGGAGATATGGGCACACGGCTGTGAAGCTGGCAGATTCAGTCACATAAGTGTTTTTAAAAGGCTTTTTAATTTTTACTCAGAGATAATCATTCATCACAAACTGGCGCCCCACTTTCTATTGAGGTACCATGAATGCTGCCGAACAGCTTTGTTGCTATAAAAACACATCATGCTGTGTTCATACAGTTGTTGTACAAAACAGGGATCCAAATGTTTTCACACACATATTCCTGCTTTTGTTCTATTTTGTGTCATTGGATTGATCCATCATCCAAAAGGGTAGAACATCATTTCAAATACTTGTTTACTTCTTTTTATCTTTTCCATGAATAAAATCCGAAAAAGTAAGCTATATTTACATTCAATGCTTTGCATAAAAGAAAAAGCTCTACACAGCATAATGCTACCACTTCTGTGTTTCACTATAGGGCTCATCACTGTAGAGGCAATGAGCATTTTTTTTAAATACATTTATATTTAAATATACTATTCCCATCAGTTGGTTTACCTACTGCCTCTCAAGGGTTACTATTTACCTCTTGCCTTCTATTATTTACTCTTTTTTTGGTCTGACTTATACTGTAGCTTTGTCTCATTTTAGTGGAATACATATCAAAACTAAGTCTGTTTTAGGTCCGTTGATAATGTTTTAGATTAGGGGTGTCCAAAGTCAGTTCTCGATGGCCGGTATCCTGCAGGTTTAGATATTTCTCTCCTTAAACTCACCTGCTTCAACCAACCCACTGTCATTTAGACGAGGCAATTCTCCCGTGCTTTTAGCAAAAGTCAGGCTGATTTATCTTTGTCAGAGGTTCAAGAAGACTTAAGCGGAGGCCTCAAAGGTTGCCTGGATCAAAGTCTACCTGACTAACAAACCACAGTTTCTGAGACTAAAGGGTCAACTATCTAATTTGGTAGTCAGCATCACCGGAGCACCACAGGGGACGGTACTCTCACTGTTTCTTTTTTACTCTGTACACTTTTGACATCCAGTTCTGCAGAAATGCTCAGATGACTTCCAAAAAAAGAAAAAAAAAGAAAAAGAAAATTAAAAACAATCCACTGAACTTTCATGTTTGAACGTTTCGCTTCCCATCCAGGAAGCTTTTTCAATTCAAAATGTCAGGAATGTCTGTTTCAATTTGCACGTTTTCAAAACAAAAAAAAGGGTTTGTTGGGCTACTGTACAAAACCTCAAGCTCAGTGCTATTCCTGACGTTTTGAATTGAAAAAACTTCCTGAATGGGAAGCGAAACGTCTTCAACCTTGGAAATAAAGTACAGTGGGATGATTTGGATTTTCTTTTTTTGGAATAACTACCACCTGGATGACTGAGAATCTTCACCAGCACACTCAGATGACTCTACAGTTATTAGTTAGATCAAAGATGGACAAAAAGCTGAGAACAAGGAAGTGGTGAACTGCTTTGTGGCATAGTGTGGAACCAATCATCTGATTCTAAATGTGAACGAAACAAGGGAGATGATTGTAGATTTTAGTTGAATCCTGTTATCCCGGGGGAAGAAATGAAGGTGGTGGAGGAGTATGAATACCTTGGTATTCAGCTGGACAGCAAACTCGACAGGAATTACAACTATGAAGCTGTCTACGAGAAGGAACAGGAGGTTTAGCTCCTTTGGTGCTTGCTGAAAGATGCTACATATTATCTGTAACAGCATCAGCTCAACTGATTTAATAAACAAGATGGTAAAGAAAGTTGATTCTATTCTGAGAACTTCTCTTGAATCTCAGGAGAGGATTTTACAAAGAAGAGGATGGAGAAAATATTGGAGAAAAGTTTAGCATCCTATATTTAGTTTGCATTGAATTTTCAGATTCAATGCAAGACAGACATCTACATGTACAGAAGATCCTTCTATTCTATGCCTAATACTGTCCACAACTTGCTGAAAACAATCACCATGAGTTACTGCAAGTTAAAAAACAAAACAAATACAAAATTTAATCTACCATTGGGAACAATAATATATTTTCTATTTTTCCAGCAACTATTTCCGCCATCAATAAAAATCTACCATAGTGAAGCTGGGAAATGTCTAAACCCTGCATGATTTTATGTCTTTTGCCATATTGTGGTCTGCTTTCAACTGGCTTGAACTATTTTCCTACAGGGGAAGGTGATAAAAGTGATTTTACTGTATTGAAACCTCGGTGAATGTCTTAGCAAATAATCAGCTGCTCTTTGATCCCACCATGGTTTTCACAGTCACTTTAATATCAAATATCTCAGCTCACAGAGCAAACCACCTTCAAAGCACTGAGTTATCATGCTTGTATCATGTTCCCCTGATGCAACCGTTGTTTCAAATGTTTTTTTAGTCCTTATGTGGTTATATCACTTGAAGTACTCAGCTCAACGACAGTTCTAACAATTATCTCCTTGACCCAGTATGACAGGAAAACAAACAAGCTTTTCAGAGGTTCCCAATTTTTTATTGTTGTTTTTACTTTGTTATCCCTCATTTACTTGATACACTAAAATTAAAAGAAATGTCTCATCAGTTTCTGCCCCTTTTCCTTGTGCACCATTGACTGACAAATACCCAAGGCATACAGATCCAGCATTTATAACCTGCCTTGTTTGCTCAGGACTCTGTGTTAACTCATCTGCCATCATAGCAGGAAGCTTTAATGATGTGATATTCAGCTACCCTTACAAACTGCAGTAGTAATATCTATTTTTGTTTATCTATTCAATGTTTACCCTTTAAAAACTGCAGGAGCTTTAGAAATTAGGTCCATATAACCTTTCTTTACATTCTGACAGACAATTCTGACCTTAAATATTTGCTTTTTTTATGTTTTTTTCACAAACTTTAAGTTTGTGTTGTGTGAATTCACATCATTACAACCGTTTATGTCCAACATATTTTGTAGTCCAATATAATTGGTTGAAACTTTCACTACCAATTTTTAGATTGCTCATTATAAAAGATAATAAGAGCCAGGAAAAAACAAAGCCAATCTATAAAAAAATAGGCATAATCTTCTGTAGGAGTTGTAATGCTTTCCTAATGGAATACACTAATGTCAGATATGGCCTCAGTTGATGTAGTTGTTGTGTTTGAGCTGGTTTACATCTTGGCCTTTGGGTCAGTGGTGTTCAGGTTCCCCTCGGCGATAATATTTGCAAAACACATTAAGTCTGATATTAGATCAAGGCTTATTAAAAACCATGACCTTCACAGGGCTTGGCTCATGGCAGTTAAATTAAATTAAATTCTCTTTAAACATTAAACAAGCAGCATCTGACCGCAATACTAGGGCATAACATTTAAAAGCGCACACACACCTGCATTGCTATGCTTTACTATGTATATGAAGACTTTGCATTGATTTCTATTCATTTTTCATTCATTTCTTTGGCCTAACCCAGATATTTTCCCTAAACCTGCCACATACCTAACCCTAAACTACACTCAATTCACACCTTTGTCCTAAACTGAAGTCAAGAACAGTATGTAAAAAGTGAGGACGCTTTTGCAAAGGTTTCTAGATTAACGAACAAGTTGTTTTTTGTGAAAATGTTCAGGAGACCTGTAACCTTGTTTGGATCCAAAATGGGTTTTGGTTATAGCTAAATATCTGTATTTTATTTAAAACTAGAAAGCTGTTAAGTATTTTTTTTTTTTTCAACTATGGTCTGTGTTCTCTAAAATTATGGAGGCAAACAACTTGTTTAACTAGTCTCAATTGCCCCTATATGCATGAAGGTAAAGCATGATTGGAAAAATGTGAGATTTAGAAAAACAAAATCTTAAGAAAATGCATATGCTTTTTCTACAGTTTAAAGTTTTATCAGTGGGATATCTCTAAACAGCATTTATTTTCAATTTTAGAATATTTCCCTTTCGATTGCGTACATAATAAAAATAATATTACTCTGCAATCATTTAAGGTATTTTGGAGGTTGATGTCTTTATGTTTGTTTGCAAAACATCAAACTCAGGCTTTCATTTCAGAATAGCTGCTAGAATCTGGGCTCATTATGTGAAGATTTACAGTATATGCTGCTTTGTATTTTAAAGGGGGAATGTAAGAAAGGATGTCTAAGCGCAGCAGCTTGAAAACCTAACAGACCAGTACCCTTCAACGAAGGGATTAAACATGCTTTGTGACGATCCCAGTCTGTCTGTTAATCACCACAGAAGAATAAACATTTTAAACAGCTGTTTAAATTCATGCTGTGTTGCTCATCAGTAACTATAAGCATACAGACGTTCACCAGGTTCCAACAGCTGCAATCACTTTATACTAAAGAGACGTGCAGTGCTCGTGCAAGTCTCATGTTTTTACACAGAATCTGTTTTACTCTCTACTCTGTTTTGTTTTTTCTTTGAGGGGACCTATCATACAAAACATTTTTGCACTACTGTGCAAATTCTGTCATCCAGATCAATAAAACAAACTTAAATCTGAGGAAGCTGGACTGTCACTCATTTTTTTCCTTAAACAGTTTTGACATCCATCCAGTTTTTTGGGGTTTTTGGATTGTCTTCTATATAAGCCTTTTTTTTTCTCTAAATATTTGCACATTTTTGTGTTTCCATTTGAGTCTTTAGTCCTTCTTGAAAAAGTCTAAGTACTACAATA